TGACTAATCACCGGTCGCACTAACATCACACACAATTCAAGTTTTCGAAGGAGTAATTAGGATTCAAACCTCCAGTTTTATGGAGAACAATGAACTTCACGACGCAGGTCAACATGGAGTTAGAGCAAGAAGATCCTGGCTTTGGCAATAGCGGCATAACGATATAATGATGGGATAACTAGCGCCAATTGGGTGCTTTGAAGAATTATAAAACATACATTACTTCAAGGAAATATTGTTGCTAACTGTTCCTCCAGTAAGTATGTTACAAGGTAAATTATCTCTGCAGAATAGGGAGCAGAGGTGCCATAGGCACAATCAGAGAACACTGTATAAACATCAGAGGTCCAGTGAAGAGCAGAGGTGCCATAGGCACAATCAGAGAACACTGTATAAACATCAGAGGTCCAGTAAAGAGCAGAGGTGCCATAGGCACAATCAGAGAACACTGTATAAACATCAGAGGTCCGCGGTTGTTCAACGTCCTCCCAGCAAGCATAAGAAATATTGCCGGAACAACCGTGGACATCTTCAAGAGGAAACTAGATTTATTCCTCCAAGAAGTGCCGGACAAACCAGGCTGTGGTGGGTATGTGGGCCTGCGGGCCGCTCCAAGCAACAGCCTGTTGGACCAAACTCTCACAAGTCAAGCCTGGCCTCGGGCCTGGCTTGGGCAGTAGAAGAACTCCCAGAACCCCATCAAGCAGGTATCTTCCAGGTATCAAGCAGAACGCTTCATGCGTTTAGTAGATGTTTCAGGAGAGGTGAGGAATCTTGTACAAACTTGAGATGCAGGAGGGTTGCGACACCTCTGGCGGGAACACTTACTATAATGAGAAGACATTGAGGCCGTGTGGGGCGGCCCCGCGCTCCCCTTCTCATGTGTGTCCAAGACTTGCTAGTGACAGACAGTGTATTCGTGAAGGCTGGGCATGAAGGTGCTCGGGGCGGGGGAGCCACAAACATACACACACGTGGCTGTGTATGCGCTAGGTGTATGATGGCGGTCAATAATGCCATCATGATAATAACCTTTTGGAAATTATACTTTATAGCGCGGCTTATAATTATAGTGAGGAGGAGGAGGAGGAGGAGGAGGAGGAGGAGGAGGAGGTGGTAACGGGAACTTTCCCTTCCTGGAGCGGCGTGACGTCACCCTGGGACCCACCAAAGATTAGGCCATCGGCGTCCCTTACCGCAGCCACGGGGCCCCTGTCGCAGCCACGGGGTCCCTGTCGCAGCCACGGGGCCCCTGTCGTAGCCACGGGGCCCCTGTCGCAGGCACGGGGCCCCTGTCGCAGCCACGGGGCCCCTGTCGTAGCCACGGGGCCCCTGTCGCAGCCACGGGGCCCCTGTCGTAGCCACGGGGTCCCTGTCGTAGCCACGGGGCTCCTGTCGTAGCCACGGGGCTCCTGTCGTAGCCACGGGGCCCCTGTCGTAGCCACGGGGCCCCTGTCGCAGGCACGGGGCCCCTGTCGCAGCCACGGGGCCCCTGTCGCAGCCACGGGGTCCCTGTCGTAGCCACGGGGCTCCTGTCGTAGCCACGGGGCTCCTGTCGTAGCCACGGGGCCCCTGTCGTAGCCACGGGGCTCCTGTCGCAGCCACGGGGCCCCTGTCGTAGCCACGGGGTCCCTGTCGTAGCCACGGGGCCCCTGTCGCAGCCACGGGGTCCCTGTCGCAGACAAGGGGCCCCTGTCGCAGCCACGGGGCCCCTGTCGTAGCCACGGGGCTCCTGTCGCAGCCACGGGGCCCCTGTCGTAGCCACGGGGTCCCTGTCGTAGCCACGGGGCCCCTGTCGTAGCCACGGGGCCCCTGTCGTAGCCACGGGGCCCCTGTCGTAGCCACGGGGCCCCTGTCGCAGCCACGGGGTCCCTGTCGTAGCCACGGGGCCCCTGTCGTAGCCACGGGGTCCCTTATCGCGGCCACGGGGCCCCTGTCGCGGCCACGGGGCCCCTGTCGTAGCCACGGGGTCCCTTATCGCGGCCACGGGGCCACTGTCGCGGCCACGGGGGCCCTGTCGCGGCCACGGGGCCCCTGTCGCGGCCACGGGGCCCCTGTCGCGGCCACGGGGGCCCTGGGTGTTGGAGGAACATGGGTGGTGATGGCGCACATAGGGTAAGGTAGTTAAGCAAAGTGTTGGGGCCGGACAAATATAGACTCGCTCCCAATACTCCGGCTCCCGACCACTCCGCTGATAACAACTATCAGCCATCGTCAGAGTGGAGCCCAGGGGAAAGTGCAAGTCTCAGGCGAGGTAAAGGCTGAACGATTATCATAGATAACCTTCTTTTAGCACTCAGATCACTCGTAGACAAAGTCAGGCGTGTTTTAGTGAAGAATATCTCACTGAAAGCGGGGAATAATAATAATGGTATTAATCATTAGTTTACAGCGTCAATGGTGTTAAAACCTGAAAATAATAGCATTGACGACAGTTTCGATTTGTTATCCTATAGATTGGGTTGACCAGGGATCATTGTTATCCTATTGTTGGGATCGTTGTTATCCTATAGATTGGGTTGACCAGGGATCATTGTTATCCTTTTGTTGGGATCGTTGTTATCCTATAGATTGGGTTGACCAGACCACACACTAGAAGGTGAAGGGACGACGACTTTTCGGTCCGTCCTGGACCATTCTCAAGTCGATTGTGAATGGTCCAGGATGGACCGAAACGTCGTCGTCCCTTCACCTTCTAGTGTGTGGTCTGGTCAAACTGCTACAGCCACGTTATTGTGACTCATCGCCTGCCTATAGATTGGTCTTCTAAAATCATGTTTCTTACCTCTGGTCATCACAGACGACGTGTTTACCACTGTGCTCTCACAGCCATCACTGACCCTCACCCCTGGCTTTGTCATCACAGACGACGTGTTTACCACTGTGCTCTCACAGCCAACACTGACCCTCACCCCTGGCTTTGTCATCACAGACGACGTGTTTACCACTGTGCTCTCACAGCCATCACTGACCCTCACCCCTGGCTTTGTCATCACAGACGACGTGTTTACCACTGTGCTCTCACAGCCATCACTGACCCTCACCCCTGGCTTTGTCATCACAGACGACGTGTTTACCACTGTGCTCTCACAGCCATCACTGACCCTCACCCCTGGCTTTGTCATCACAGACGACGTGTTTACCACTGTACTCTCACAGCCAACACTGACCCTCACCCCTGGCTTTGTTGCTGGCGATATTAATCTTTCTCAGTACATAGATAAATGCTGTAATATCCTACCTTGAGGTTACCTTGAGGAGCTTCCGGGTCTAAGCGTCCCCGCGGCCCGGTCGTCGACCAGGCCTCCTGGTTGCTGGACTGGTCAACCAGGCTGTTAGACGCGGCTGCTCGCAGCCTGACGTATGACGTATCCTAGTTAACAGATGTGATCTGACAGGTTTATTCCCCCCCCCCCCTAGGCTCTCTTTCTTTAACTTTTCTTGCTGTCTCTTTACTCTATTTCACTTCATTTTCCTCGCCATTTGGTCTTCTGTTGGTTTTCTTATTCATTACTTCTACATTTTTCTTAATTTCACATTTATGTTATATTTTATTCTTATTGTCATTCTTGAAGCATTTCTTATATCTATTCCTAGACTTGTTATCTTATTGGTCGTCTCAGCCTCCTCGCCCAGTATGTCACTCTCTTGCCCAATATATTTGACTCTCACCCACATGTTGACGACGGTCCAACACGGCCAGAGGCGTTCTCAGTTCTTTTATTTTCAACCGTGTGGAGTTGGGTGTTGAGCCCCGCTGATGTGAGTGTGTTATGGGGGTCTTGTGCTGTACATCTACTACGCTCTCCACGTCATAATGTTTTAGTGAACCTCACACTTTTTTCTAGTAGGGGTGAGTGCCGGGTCTCACTTGTTACCCCATCACCCCCCACCTCTTGCAAGGTGGGTGGGGGGGGGGGGGGGGTTAACGACCCTCCCCCACCCCCCCCACCCCCACACCACCACCTCACCTACCCATATTGAGACTCCTGTCCATACTTGACACTTGAGTTTATTTGGGAACTTCAAAACTCAATAGCTGCCGCCACACCAGAGAGGCGGGGATGCAGTTCCTCTTGGAAATCGTAATTTTCACTAAAAAAAGATATCCTGATGCCTGTATACTTCTGTATCTATTCTAGCTGTAATGATAGATATATCGGAAGTCCCATCATGACTTTCATCATAAGTATGTTGGAACATGAGAGATGAATCGTTTAAAACTGGTTGTTCCTTATGCAGACGATGAGTCACAATAACGGGGCTGGAGTATGTTGACCAGACCACACACTAGAAAGTGAAGGGACGACGACGTTTCGGTCCGTCCTGGACCATTCTCAAGTTGATTAAAACTGTTTGTTCCTTGAACCCTAGTTCTCTGGCCTTAGAGAACACTCCCACTCACTCCACCGTACCTTCGTTGGGGTCTGACTTTGAAATTATAAATAAATGGAGTTGTTCCTTTGATCTTTGATAAATGGAATCATAAACAACTTCGTCTTGTGTTGAAGAATCACGACTTGTCTGTGTAACAGTGCCCCGGGGGGGGGGGGGGAGGACCTTCCTGACTATGTACTAACACTATTCTCCTCGTCCACAGCGCCCCGGGGGGGGGGGGGGGACCTTCCTCACTATGTACTAACAGTGTTCTGGTCCACAGTGCCCGGGGGGGGGGGGACCTTCCTCACTATGTACTAACAGTGTTCTGTTCCACAGCACCACGGGGGGGGGGGGATCACCATGTACTAACACTATTCTCTTGGTCCACAGCGCCCCGGGCCTCACTATGTACTAACACTATTCTCCTGGTCCACAGCGCCCCGGGCCTCACCATGTACTAACACTATTCTCCTGGTCCACAGCGCCCCGGGCCTCACTATGTACTAACACTATTCTCCTCGTCCACAGCGCCCCGAGCCTCACTATGTACTAACACTATTCTCCTGGTCCACAGCGCCCCGGGCCTCACTATGTACTAACACTATTCTCTTGGTCCACAGCGCCGCAGGAGGGGACCTTCAGACTCTCCTGGACGAAGACATGGTACCATATGAACGAGACGTCATCAGCTTCACGCGACAGCTCCTCGAGGGACTCGTGTTCATCCACGACCGCAACATCGTTCATCTGGACATTAAGGTAAGAGTCTTGTGAACTTAATGATTGCACTTCCATCGTTTTACAATGTTATAAAGAAATACTGAGACAAACAGCTTTCCACACAGCAGTAAGCGCTGGCCTCAGGCGAGGTGGCGTCAACTGCCTCAGGCCACAACTCTCGAAATCGTGAACAGGTAAACAAACATATATAGCAGTCTTGTGGGATCCCAACCCAAGCTGGTTGTGTATGGTCTCCGTGGCGACACAGTGGCCGACATGTCTCCTGGCAGTTTGAACTATACGGTCTTATTAAATTCAGTGTCTGACAATATATAAGATCAAATTTAAGATAATCTTTTTGGAGTGGTTGGTACATGGGGGGCGTCGCTCCCTGCAGGTGAGCGCTCGATCCCACTAGACCCTAGTGGTTGGGAACCATTCCTTCCCTCCGTCCTAACCCAGATCCTTGTCCTCATACCCCTTGCAAGTGCTCAACCCGTTCTCGCACTTGCTTATAGTCACTATTGGCTTATTAAGAAGTGCATATGTGACATACTATTTTATTGTGAATATTTGAGTTTAACTTGAAAAGCTGAATAGAAAACACCGACCTAACCTAACCTTCCTAGTATGTTAAGATAAACATCTTATTGCTTCTTAATTACAATTAATACTTAACCTATACCAATATTGATATTACAGTTTTATAAAAATAATAAAACAAAACCAAAATATTTAAATAAATTGTAAAGTAACTCAGGATATTGACAAATATTGTATAAAATCTCTCTTGTTTAATAAAACTGAAAAAGAAATTCCTAATACGAAAACTGGTGTTTAGCAATTTTTAAGAAGAGTTTATACCTTAAAAACAAAATATAACTTGGCATATACCACATATGTACTTATTAATCAGCCAAATAGTGACTATAAGCATTAGTCATATATGTACTGTCTTGTGCGAGAGCGAGTTGAAGTGTTACATAGTCGTACTGGCGTAACGACTTCTCCAGGTCGTTACTGGCCTACCTGACAACACGTACCGTGTATATGAGGCCCGCTGCTCTATCTCATGACTTTCTCAGTCACTCTCATGGGTAGGTGGGGGGGGGGGGGAGTACCAATGGCCTCAGTGATGTCATCAGCCATGCTCAGATAAGTATTTATTGATTTATATACAAGAAGGCACATTGGGTTTATGGGAGTACACAACAGTGATGTTTATACATTGTTGTAAAGGGGTGATGACCTCTCTACTACCACCACGGGTGATGACCCCTCTACTACCACCACGGGTGATGACCCTCTCCTACCACCACGGGTGATGACCCCTCTACTACCACCACGGGTGATGACCCCTCTACTACCACCACGGGTGATGACCCCTCTACTATCACCACGGGTGATGACCCTCTCCTACCACCACGGGTGATGACCCCTCTACTACCACCACGGGTGATGACCCCTCTACTACCACCACGGGTGATGACCCCTCTACTACCACCACGGGTGATGACCCTCTACTACCACCACGGGTGATGACCCCTCTACTACCACCACGGGTGATGACCCTCTACTACCACCACGGGTGATGACCCTCTACTACCACCACGGGTGATGACCCTCTACTACCACCACGGGTGATGACCCCTCTACTACCACCACGGGTGATGACCCCTCTACTACCACCACGGGTGATGACCCTCGCCTACCACCACGGGTGATGACCTCTCTACTACCACCACGGGTGATGACCCTCTACTACCACCACGGGTGATGACCCTCGCCTACCACCACGGGTGATGACCTCTCTACTACCACCACGGGTGATGACCCTCGCCTACCACCACGGGTGATGACCTCTCTACTACCACCACGGGTGATGACCCTCTACTACCACCACGGGTGATGACCCCTCTACTACCACCACGGGTGATGACCTCTCTCCTACCACCACGGGTGATGACCTCTCTACTACCACCACGGGTGATGACCCCTCTCCTACCACCACGGGTGATGACCCCTCTACTACCACCACGGGTGATGACCCCACTACTACCACCACGGGTGATGACCCCTCTACTACCACCACGGGTGATGACCCCTCTACTACCACCACGGGTGATGACCCCTCTACTACCACCACGGGTGATGACCCCACTACTACCACCACGGGTGATGACCCCTCTACTACCACCACGGGTGATGACCCCTCTACTACCACCACGGGTGATGACCCCTCTACTACCACCACGGGTGATGACCTCTCTACTACCACCACGGGTGATGACCTCTCTACTACCACCACGGGTGATGACCCCTCTACTACCACCACGGGTGATGACCCCTCTACTACCACCACGGGTGATGACCCCTCTACTACCACCACGGGTGATGACCTCTCTACTACCACCACGGGTGATGACCTCTCTACTGCCACCACGGGTGATGACCTCTCTACTACCACCACGGGTGATGACCCCTCTACTGCCACCACGGGTGATGACCCCTCTACTGCCACCACGGGTGATGACCCCTCTACTGCCACCACGGGTGATGACCCCTCTACTGCCACCACGGGTGATGACCCCTCTACTGCCACCACGGGTGATGACCCCTCTACTACCACCACGGGTGATGACCTCTCTACTACCACCACGGGTGATGACCTCTCTACTACCACCACGGGTGATGACCTCTCTACTACCACCACGGGTGATGACCTCTCTACTACCACCACGGGTGATGACCTCTCTACTGCCACCACGGGTGATGACCCCTCTACTGCCACCACGGGTGATGACCCCTCTACTGCCACCACGGGTGATGACCCCTCTACTGCCACCACGGGTGATGACCCCTCTACTACCACCACGGGTGATGACCCCTCTACTACCACCACGGGTGATGACCTCTCTACTACCACCACGGGTGATGACCTCTCTACTACCACCACGGGTGATGACCTCTCTACTACCACCACGGGTGATGACCTCTCTACTGCCACCACGGGTGATGACCCCTCTACTGCCACCACGGGTGATGACCCCTCTACTACCACCACTGGTGATGACCCCTCTACTGCCACCACGGGTGATGACCTCTCTACTGCCACCACGGGTGATGACCCCTCTACTACCACCACTGGTGATGACCACTCTACTACCACCACGGGTGATGACCCCTCTACTACCACCACGGGTGATGACCACTCTACTACCACCACGGGTGATGACCCCTCCCCTACCACCACGGGTGATGACCCCTCTACTACCACCACGGGTGATGACCACTTCCCTACCACCACGGGTGATGACCCCTCCCCTACCACCACGGGTGATGACCAGCTCCTCTTGTTCACAACTTCCAAAAACAGAATTAACAGATTAGAGTTGGGATGAAATATACTTTTTATTATACCATATATGACCACCATGACGTCGTGTTCCACACATGCACTACCATGACGTCATGTTCCACACCTGCACTACCATGACGTCATGTTCCACACCTGCACTACCATGACGTTGTGTTCCACACCTGCACTACCATGACGTCATGTTCCACACCTGCACTACCATGACGTTGTGTTCCACACCTGCACTACCATGACGTTGTGTTCCACACCTGCACTACCATGACGTCATGTTCCACACCTGCACTACCATGACGTTGTGTTCCACACCTGCACTACCATGACGTCATGTTCCACACCTGCACTACCATGACGTCATGTTCCACACCTGCACTACCATGACGTCGTGTTCCACACCTGCACTACCATGACGTTGTGTTCCACACCTGCACTACCATGACGTCATGTTCCACACCTGCACTACCATGACGTTGTGTTCCACACCTGCACTACCATGACGTCATGTTCCACACCTGCACTACCATGACGTCATGTTCCACACCTGCACTACCATGACGTCATGTTCCACACCTGCACTACCATGACGTTGTGTTCCACACCTGCACTACCATGACGTCATGTTCCACACCTGCACTACCATGACGTCATGTTCCACACCTGCACTACCATGACGTCGTGTTCCACACCTACACTACCATGACGTCATGTTCCACACCTGCACTACCATGACGTCGTGTTCCACACCTACACTACCATGACGTCATGTTCCACACCTGCACTACCATGACGTCATGTTCCACACCTGCACTACCATGACGTCATGTTCCACACCTGCACTACCATGACGTCGTGTTCCACACCTGCACTACCATGACGTCATGTTCCACACCTGCACTACCATGACGTCGTGTTCCACACCTACACTACCATGACGTCATGTTCCACACCTGCACTACCATGACGTCATGTTCCACACCTGCACTACCATGACGTCATGTTCCACACCTGCACTACCATGACGTCATGTTCCACACCTGCACTACCATGACGTCATGTTCCACACCTGCACTACCATGACGTCATGTTCCACACCTGCACTACCATGACGTCGTGTTCCACACCTGCACTACCATGACGTCATGTTCCACACCTGCACTACCATGACGTCGTGTTCCACACCTGCACTACCATGACGTCGTGTTCCACACCTGCACTACCATGACGTCGTGTTCCACACCTGCACTACCATGACGTCATGTTCCACACCTACACTACCATGACGTCGTGTTCCACACCTGCACTACCATGACGTCGTGTTCCACACCTGCACTACCATGACGTCGTGTTCCACACCTGCACTACCATGACGTCGTGTTCCACACCTGCACTACCATGACGTCATGTTCCACACCTGCACTACCATGACGTCGTGTTCCACACCTACACTACCATGACGTCGTGTTCCACACCTGCACTACCATGACGTCATGTTCCACACCTGCACTACCATGACGTCGTGTTCCACACCTGCACTACCATGACGTCGTGTTCCACACCTGCACTACCATGACGTCATGTTCCACACCTGCACTACCATGACGTCATGTTCCACACCTGCACTACCATGACGTCATGTTCCACACCTGCACTACCATGACGTCAT